ACTAAGTCTTCCCTAAAGACACAAATTTTCCCTAAGGATACTATTGCCATTGAATGTAGGGAGCTAATTTGGAGTAATAGACACAACTTTTATGAAGAACTGATTCAAAAAGACAGCTTACTATTAGTTCAAAAGCTTTACTTTTTAGTAAAAAAATCCTCTTATTAGAAACTTGCTTTTCCCAAGAAGATATAATCTGTCTGAAAGAAAAGGTTGTCTTTATGTCCTCACACACGCACACACACATACACACACAATTAGCTAGATAGAAAGTTGTAGGAAATTATTCTTTGGAAGCAATTTGTTCTTTTGGTATAAAAATTTCTCAAGAAAGTGAGACAATACAAATTTGACTTCAGAACAGAGGATCACAAATAGAAGAACTGGCTGACACCCCCATAAATAACAACACTACCTTTGCTGGAGGCAAGTCCTCCACGGGAAGAACATCTTCCGAGAACAGGGAGCTAAGTATCTGGGCCTCCTGACGGCCCATTTCCTTGGAACAGCACAGTCACAATGACTAGGTTAAAATTTTTTCTCAGTAACTTTTCTAAAAGCAAACTGCTCAAATATAACGCTAAAATTATACATTCACTCACTGGAGGGACAGTGTATGCTATTTAATAACTGTTTGACGAGAGAGATACAATTAAGCGTTCCTTCTTTTTACATTGCACGTTATCGTAACACCGGCTCCGGGAATCTCCCAAGATGGCCACTAGGGGGAGTCACACGCCATCTGCAGCCTGACCAGGCGCGTTTAGCATTTTAGCCCTGTCGCCTCTTCTCTGGCCTTCCTTCCTGCTCTGAAAGGGCCCATGTGACACAGGGCACATTGTTGGAGCTGACAAGTAAGCGAAAAACAGCACTTTGATCTAGAAATGTCTGCACAAACCGAATGGGAGTGCTCCTAATATTCTCTCCGCCTCCCTACAGCTACATTCACATCCGGTCTCTATCTCAGCCACGAATTCTGTGGGAGCTGCAGAGGATCTTGTTTTCTCTCTGGCATCTCGCTCAATGTACCACGAGGGTGACCTGCAATGACATCTGGACATCCGGGTCTCCAGCTGAGGGCGCTTCATATTTTTGTGCTTCACGCGGCCTAGTGCTCCACAGGGACCCGGCCTGGCCTTCATTCCTATGGCGGCCTAGGGCCCTCTGTCTCCAGGGCACCTCTGTCGCACTTCTGTCGCACTGTCTTTCTCACCTAGCTTGCTCTCACCTCTCTTATTTGCTTTCTGGACAATCCTCCTCAGTCTTCACACTTCTTGTTATAGGGAAACTAACCTTAAGCACAATCTTTAGTGACTTTTCTTCCTTCACATTTCTGTAAATTATTTTGGTACCAGGGATTGAACTCGGGTCCTTGCACTTGCAAGGCAGGCCACGGAACGGCTGAGCTAAATCCCTGACCCCATTGAGCGCTCATTTTCTAAGAGTGTTAGTTCTCATGACTTTGAAGGGACTCTCTTTGAAGAACTCTTCGTTTCTAGTCATTTGGGAAATAGCTAGAGGACATTGCTTAGGCAAAGTCAAAGTGAAAGTGACACAGAAAGTCGGGAGCTAATTGTTTTTTCTTTCCTTTCGATGCTGACCTCCACTGAGCTCCACCAGTATCCTGGGCGCCGTGTCATCAGTTTAACCCATAGCGCACACAACTTCAAAAAACACAAAAGCTGAGGAGAACCGTACTCTAAGGTGAAGTCTAGATGGTACTTGTGTGAGAGAAGAGAGACTTCCGTTACCTGGGGCAATCATTTTAGAGTTTCCATAAACCACAATTCTTAAAACACAATGTGTTGATGGCTTAGCCTAACACTTTTCTTTTTTAAACAAAAGCTAGCCTATGTATAAAAATCCTTTGTTTTCTACACAAGTTTAGTCCTTATTTCTTTAGTCTAACCCACTGGGTATTTCATTAAAGTTTATAAACCACTTTTATTTCAAATACCGTGGATTCAGGATTTAATGAATACTTTGTATCAGACTCACAGCTGAATTTAAATTCTGAATTTAACATATGAAACAGAATAAGTACTTTCCTCCCCCCAAACATGTTGGCAAAAAGTGCAGAACTGAGTATTATAAATCCTTTCATATAATCATATATTTCTTGATCTTTTAAATTCTTCAGTAAACTCATTTGATCAGGAGTTGAGAACTCATTTCAAAATTATGTGTAATCCTCTTCTGTCCCAGCCATTTGGCAGGCTTGTCACAAAGGCCTTCATCATTCAAATTCCTCTTTGGAGGGAATAATTATCCCATCTTAACAGCAGCATTACACACTCAGAAAACCACACAAAGGTCTAATCTTGTCCATTTGCATTCACCAGCTTTCTTCTTTAAAACACAAAACAAATATTGAGTACCTCACAATATGTTCTCTGTTTGGCCAAAAAATTTGGAATAAAACTAAATGAAGCTGATCTCTTTAACAAGTGGCTTCCAGGATATCCAATTTATGCCTTCTTCCCATTTATCATCAAAGTTAGTTGATACCAATGCCTTACCAACAGGACAATGGCTAAAGAGAAATAAGGGACTGGACCCCGATCCTGTTCATTTCAACATCTGACCACATCTTAAGATTCTTGAAGTGCTGGCTGTGAAGCCCTCTAGCAATGGTGTAAGTTCAGGTCTTTACAGAGTCACTAATCTGTTTTATATTTTCTTATTTATAAAATGTATTCATTTATTCATTCATTAAATAATCAATAATTACATGGTACAGGCCAGAAAATGTTAGGTACTGGTGACAAAATGGAAGTTAAAAAAAAAAAATCACACTGCAGTCAGACAGATAAGGAAAAGAACATTTACAAAGCATTGGGCTTTGTGTAGATCAGAGGACTGTGGAGACGCAGCAGCCTGGATTCTGAGGGCACTGGTCAGGACTAGGGGGCAGAAATGATGCTTAGGCTGAGTCAGGAAGGTGGAGGACAACTGTGAGCGTGGTACACTGTGATAGAGAAGATGAAACCACAGATTACAGAAGAAGGAAGGGCTGAGGAAAGGTCAGCCGACCTTAGGCCCAGGCAAACCTCAAAGTGCCCAGCATAGCGTACAGAAGGCTTGAACTCCACCTTTCTTCAAGGAAAAGGAAGCTAGAAGGAGTTTCAGGGCAACTTGTGTGAAGCTAGTGGACAGTTTAAGGCCAGCCAAGCCCTCCTGACTCTACTAAGGCTTGAGTTACAGGTCAGATGCATGACGGAGAGATGCTCTTCTATGTGCAGAAGGTAGAGGCAACCAGCCCAACTCTGAGATGGCTAAAAAATAAAGGTTTACACCGACAAAGGCTAAATGAAGGCAGTGGAGTGTGGAGAAACCGGAGGAGACGGATTATGAGTGGTGGGTATTACAGAGAGCAAAGTTAGGTAGAGACTGAAAGGCAGTTAGAAAGGGACCAGGCCCAAGAAAAAGTCAGAACAGAGATGAGGCAAACCAAGGCTGAGGCTGAGGGCTGAGTTCACAGAAACGAGGCCTTGAGATGGAGACACCATGACTAAACTGGAGAGCCTTCCCAGAGAGAAACAACAGCTCAAAGCTGTTCTGTAACCACCACCTGCAGCTCCAGGGAGCCTGAACAATGTAACAAACACACAGAGAGATGACCAGAACACTTTGACCCCCATTCCTGCCCCTTCCAGTAATGCCTCTGTCCTCTTCCCTGCTGTGTACCCTTGCTATGCATCTTGCTTTTCTATTAGGTCAATATTAGCTAAGAGACTGTACTTGTAATCCAACCTGTGATGAGATTTACTGTATAAAACCCCTAGACAAAGAGCTTCAGAAGCAACTCACTTTTGGGACCCCTTCTGCCTCTGAGGAGCTTTCTCTTAATACGAGTAATCAGAAGTTTGGAAGATTCCAACTTGATTGATCACATTCACCATTTCCTTTATTAGCCTCCTTTGTCCTCAAGTCCATTTTCAGGAGTCGTGAGACATGAACTGTGGACATCTAATAGGCTGGGAGCTGGGTGTTACTGTAACACAGGGATGTAAACTTGACATGAGTTAGGGACTGTTTACATACAGAGGATGAAGGAGAGATTAAAATTTTAAGGTTCTTTTTAGAGTTTAGTTTTGGATGCGCTGCTTTTGTAGGACCTAGAAGACCTTCACATGGAGGTTCTGAGCAGGGAATGGAATGGGACTCAGGAGCAATGTCTGGGTTGAATTAAAGAGTGCAACCCATTAATCCATCCAACATATGGGGGAAGCTGTTGATGAAGGAGACAAAGGGGGTAGCCCTAGAGTTAGCAAAGAAAAACTAAGGTCATTAAAACAAGAGAACAGAGAGCTTCAAAGAGAACAATCAACAGTGTAACTTCCTGCACAGCAATGAAGTAAGATGGAGCCGGAAAGTGCCCAGGGAACCTGGCAGCTCAGACATTCCTAGTGACCACAGGGAATTCAGCACCACGAGAATGTCTCAGACACAAGCAAGACTTGGGTGGGCTAAAGAGTTACCAAGACCACAAGCAATGGAATCCTTTTTCTAGAAGCATGGGTAAAAGAACTAGAAAAGCTAACTGGTTTGCAAATCTTTATTGCTCTTGCTAGCAAGTCCATTCTATGAAATTCTACATAGGATACAGTTTTGTATCAAGGCAAGTGGATAAGATTTCCTAGTTATCTATCTTACTTCCAACATCGGTGCTAAGAAACGGAGAAAACGGAACTAAGGTAGGCTCAGAATGGTTTCGTCTGACGGGTGCTTGGCTTGGGATGCTTCACCAGGCCCCACACTGGTCCCTGTCCACTAACAGTGAGGCAGTGAGGTAGGCAGACGGCCACCAGCTTATCTCCTTGTTTGAGGCAGTACTGGTGAGTGTGTAGAGGGTACCTACTACCATCCAAGTGCTGATGTCAATCACTGTACACAAAGTGCAAAGAGGGAAAGTATTACCTGCAAGGGAGCGAAACACCCTTAGGTAACAGAAATGAAAAGGCACTCTTACAGGGGACAGTCATCCTGTATTTACTCACGGGTGGTCCTGGGGGTCCTGGCTTTCCTGGGGGTCCTGGTTTTCCTCGTCTTCCCTTGAAACCAAAGAAAAAAATAAATTTTATTCCATTTTAATATGACAATACTATTAGTAATACTGAAGACAGTAAAAATTAACAAAAGTTAAAATAATTTGAAGTCCACATGACTCTTAAACATCAACATTCGTTCTACAGCGATCAGTTCTATAGCGATGGGCCACTTCTTAAGGACCATGATGAGAAACAGTCCCTGAAATGTACAGCTTGTAACTGTTATCAGCAACCTTTTATATGCTGTTACCTCGATATTCTGACAAAGGATTATAAAGCATCTGAAAGAAGGCCTAAGGCTGCCACTCCATCTGATGATCCTATGGGTTGATCCTGAAATAATAAATGCATCTGCCATCTTAATTTGTCATATCTCAAAGAAAGCTCTGAATTCTATTTTTATAGGAGCTACCTGAGTGTGAGATTGGGGTGATAAATACACATAACCCTTGGCTTCATCCTAGACCAGCGACGGTGAACTTTTTAGAAATTTCAACAACACAGACCCACGAGACACAAGTGTCATTGGTTCACCACCACCAACCCAGACTTGCTGGCTTCGAATATCTGGGGATGGGACCCATGAATCTGCATTTTAGAATCATTTCAAATAATTCTTGTGCTCACTAAAGTCTGTACAGTGATGAGCTGAGGCATATTATATGTTCTGTCTACATCACATTAACTAGCTCCTCCTCTTCACTGTGGATGGTTAAGCTGTTTTATGACTGAACCAAAATGTATAATTTTTGCATATCAATTATCACTATTGCAACTGAATGTTAACTTTCCCAAGTTTATAATCAGCCCAATTCCAGCTGCAAATCAGAAAGATAAGTCTACGCTAGCATCTTTAACTAACTGTATATCTAACACCATTTAAGCACATTCAGTTGTTATAAGATTATGTTCCTAAATTTTTTTCTAAAAAAAGTCAGCTTAGGTTTTGACAGTATGCATTGTGATGAGAAGTGTTTCTGAGCATATATTTTCTAAATCTTGCCATTCTATCTCATTGTTACTAATTAATTTATTTGATTACTGTGTTGGTAGAATACACAAATTAAGGCATGTGATACTTAAGCATCTGGTTGCTTCTTAAAAAACAAAACTGTAAGCATAAACACAAAAGCCTCATTCAAGTCACTGATTTTCTTGTTCTGAAAATGCTAGACAAAGTTATTCCACCTTTCTGGTCATCCTCTGGGCATGGGTGGGGCAGGAAGCCAAACTATCAGTGGCATCTACAAGCTCAGGTGTAGGAGGAAAGCGAGCACTGGCTGGTCTGTGACTGAGGAGAAACTGGGACATGGTTCCTGAAGGTGAGTTAAAGGCAGACCACCAAGCCCTCTGTGTCAAAATCATATCCCTTTTCATAAACAATTCCAGCTAACATTCACAGGACAGAATTGAAAACACTTTTCTTAAAAACAGGAAAATAATTAGCATTGTTTTCATGTACCTTCCATTAGAGAGATCTAGACACCAGAGTTCTTTGGGAGACTGTGAGATTGGAATGAATATATAATTTGATATTCCGTACATCTCATACAAGTTATACACATGTACACCAGTTTCTAGTCTTACAGTTTGCATTTTCTGAAAATTCAGATATTGGGTCTTTTACAAAATATAGATCAATTAGCCTTTGAGAACTAATCAATGATAAAAAGTTTACTTAGAAAACGGAAGGGATGTAATTTATTAATTCACAAGAGCACACAGAAATCCGATCAATGGTATCTAAGTAAGTGACTGGGTTGTTCTCTAAGCCTACATTAGGTGGAGGCGAGTTAAAACCATAGGACCCAGCTTTGTTTATACTCTCCTTTCTCCAGAGAAGATGTGTATTGATTTGGGCAGGAAGTGGGAAAATGAGGCTGACTACTGATCAATTTTTATCACAGAGTCAACGCGTAAGACAAACCCAGTGTCAGACATTGTAACACAACGCTGGCATTTGTTGAGATGGGGGGCAAGAAGCTTGCACAGTTCTGCATGGTGAGGGCAGGTGTCCAACCCCATCTCCCTGCGATGTCCGTAGACCTTAGGTCCAGTCCTACCCCGTCGAGTGTACCCATCTGCATGCTGGAGATGCAGAGACGATGATGTTGTGTGTGGGTGTTTTCCAGAGTGGATAAGCAGGTGACACACCCAGAAGGTTAAATTACAGGGACGGACATCTTTGTGCAGAGAACTGCCCGTCCATATTTTCAGTTTAAACCTGGTCTCCAGGCCTGAATTTTAGCAACACTGAAGAGGATTTGAACAGTTTTTAAAGACGTGCTTTACACAGCAACACAGTCTCTTTCCTTAGCTCTATCCCCAGACTGATCATAGGAGCAAGACAGGGTGACTCCAGGGTCCTGTAGAGTGTGTTCTGACAGCACACAGAAAGGGTGGAAGGGTGAGAAACAGGGGTGGAAGCTCTAGAGAATGAACGAGAGAGCTGGGGGAGGGGGTGTCACAGTTTCCATAGACACAGTAGCCTCAGTCCACTCTTCTCTCCGATACATCTCAGGAATTAATGTCCCCTAGTCAGGAAATAATGTCCCCTAGTTTCGCTGAATGGAGCAGGATAATCTCCCGTTCCTGTTCTTCCAGAAGCTCTCTCCTTTGCTTAAAAGAATTAAGGAAAGACAAAGGCCTACCTAGAGGATAACAGTAGATTTCTGGAAGAGTGAATTCCTTACGGAAGCAGGACAACTTGAAGGACATTTTATTATTAACAATTATACCACGACAAAAGGCATGAAGGATGACCCGCCTCCTAGGACTGAGATCCCTCCAGTTTTGGAGGAGAATGTAATCTGAGAATCTTAGCTCTTCTCCACAAAGGCTCTGGGCAGCTAGACAAGGGCACCTGGAGCCAAGGGTTGAGGGTCCTGTTGGCTAGGGAGGACCCTTGTGCATGGTGGCAGGGATGGTCACTGCTTGTTGGTTTCCACTCCCATCACCTGCTGTTTCTGTCCTTTCCTTACAAGGCTGGCCGTAGACATGCTCCAGCGGGAGGCCACAGGTGGTGTATAGGGGTGGGTGGGGATGAAGACGTGGGCAGGTAACTTACACACCTGCTGGGCTAGGCAGGACCGTCCTGGCTGGCTGTCCTCAAGTGGTCAAAAGCAACTCTGACAACTAGAGTCTGGGTAAACCTCTAAACAAATTGAGACCTACTGTTCCAGCATTATAATTGGGCTAATCCAATTTCATGAAAACTGAGTTATAAATCATAAAGCACAGATTTTCCCTAACAGGTTGCCCTGGAAACCTCAAAGTGAAGATGTCAGTTTTCCTTGTGCAATAGCAAAGAGATGATTAGAGTAGATATCTGCCTCACATCCAGGTGTCCAAGCTGACCATGCAGCAGGACCCCTGGAGGGCTGTTAAATCAGTTCGCTCTGTCCCGCTCCGGGATTCTGGGTCAGCAGGCCTGAGCATCTGCATTTTAACAAGGTCCAGGTAATGCTAGTGCTGGGCAGTGTGGGCACCATAGTCTAGAACCACTGCTCTAAAAAGTTAAAGCTCTTTGTTCACACCGAATGTCTTTTTTATTTTTTTTATTTTTTTTTGGTACTGGGGATTGAACTCCAATCCTTGTGCTTGCAAGGCAGGCCACCAAACCACTGAGCTAAATCCCCAGCCCATCGAATGTCTTTTTTATGTAAAAATGTTTGATAATATCTTTTTGCTTTCATACGGGGGATCGAACTCAGGTCCTTGGGCCTGTGCAGAACCACTGAGCTAAATCCCCTGCCCAGTTTGATAACATCATAAAGAAACTCTCTAAAGTATAGAGTGACATCCTTTAAAGAAGTGCAATCAACTCTTAATTATGAATTTTTTGAAAACCCCTAAAATAACAATCAGTATGCCCATTAAAAGTAGAAATAAAAATAACAAATTATAATTGATGCATATTATGGGATCTACCCATGGATGAAACTGAACCACATGCAACAATATAGATACTTCTTACGAGCATAATGTTGATCAATTTATATGAGGAACAAAGCGAGGCACAACTGATATATGCTATCAGAAGTCAAGATGGGGCAGGGAATAGCAGAAAGGAAGTGGTACAGAGGTTTCTTGATTTCCTGAACTATTTCCTGAACTATGTGCTTGTTACAGAAGCTGGATGGAAAAAGCACCCAGCTGTAACTTTATAAAACATTTATAAATTTATTTACAAAATAATCAAGATAACCATAATGGAACAATATTATTTAAAGGATCTCATGACATTTATCTATCCACAGGATTATTGTTATTGGAAAGAAAGAAAACAAACAAGATTTTAATATAGTAATAGTATATGTGCTGCTGAAGAGAGCACACACACAAAAAAACCAAACAAGATTATTTAAGCAAATGACATCTACAAACTCTCAATAGTAAAAATAACCTGATCCTTGCAGGATGACTTGCAGTAAAAGAGCACGTGTATCTTAAATTAGACCCTTGATTTATAAACACTTGGCCCTCCGGGGGTACTAAGAAGAGAAGAATGTGAATAATGGACTATCAGTACTTAACGGACAGATGGTTTTTGTTGTTGATAAGGGTGATGAGGATGAAGATGAGGTTATGGCAGCAATTAGATTCAAATAAAGGTTGGTATGCAGAACCAAGCCCAGAAAATGAGACACGTGTCTAAGGAGTCTTTCGGAATGGCCAGGTCTTGCTAACACAGCTGCCTCATTTCAAATATTTCCCTGTAACCATGTGTGTAGACTGCGTACTCTTGCCATCAGCTCAGCTGGACGAGGTATCAAGGAAATGTCAAGGAAGAGGAGACGGAGCCGTGACTGGCACACGCAACTGTGAATGAGGTGTTAATTACACAGGAAAACATTACAGACTCGCAGAGAAGTTTGTCTTTCTTTTTTTACATTGTGAGCGGAAATAAGATTTATAACGAATGCTGGAAAGAGTTACATTTTGAAGTCAACGATACATCCAAAGAAAGGGAATGGGATATTTATGTGAAGAACGCAGAAAGC